AAAGAAAAAGCAAAAACTATATGAAAAATATCTACGACATAAAACATATCACAATGAAATAATATACAAAAACTACAAAAATTTGTTTGAAAAAACCAAAAAATTATCAAAAAAATCTTATTATGAAAAGCTATTGGAAAAAAGTAATGGAAATACAAAAAAAACTTGGAATATAATAAAAGAAATAATTGGCAAAAATATTTCGATTAAAAACAATTTGCCACAAAAACTGTTAATTGATGAAAAAGTTGTTTATGACAAAGAAACCATAGCTGAAAAGCTAAACAGTTTTTTTCTTGAGATTGGTCCAAATCTGGCGGCTAAAATTCCATCTAGTACCATAAAATTTGAAACATACCTCAAAACAGCAAATACTGTTATGACAGAACTAAGTTTAAATATAAGTGAATTGCATAATGCCTTTTTCTCTCTGAAAAATAACAAAAGTGCAGGCATAGATAAAATTAGCGTCAAAGTAGTTAAATCAGTCTTTGATATTATTGAACCCTTATTGTTTCACATTTTTAATCTCTCATTAACGTCTGGTATTGTACCAGACAAACTTAAAATAGCTAAAATCACACCGATTTTTAAGTCAGGTGAAAAAACAAATGTTTCAAACTATAGACCTATTTCTGTATTACCTTGTTTCTCTAAATTGCTAGAACGCATTATGTACAATAGGCTTTATAATCATCTAGTATCAAATAATATTCTGTACAACAAACAATTTGGGTTTAAAAAAAATCATTCTACGGATCACGCGGTTATTGAGCTTGTAAACCATATATCAGATGCTTTTGATAAAGATTATTTTACCTTAGGAGTTTTCATTGATTTATTCAAAGCATTTGACACTGTCAATCATGAAATCCTTATAAAAAAATTAAAACTTTATGGAGTAAACAACTTAAACTTACTTTGGTTTAAAAACTACTTGACTAACAGAAAACAATGCATAACCTATGAAACAAATGAAACCAAAAAAAAGCTTATAAATTGCGGGGTTCCTCAAGGATCTATCTTAGGACCATTATTGTTTCTAATATATATAAACGACTTATTTTTAGCATCTAAAAAATTATATCTTATATTGTTTGCTGACGATTCCAATCTGTTTTATTCTCACAGAGATATAAAAATTCTCTTTAAAATTTTTAATGAAGAATTATCTAAAGTAAATGAATGGTTTATAAGTAACCGCCTTTCACTAAATGTAGATAAAACTAAATTCATTCTGTTCCACTAACCAAATAAAGTTGATAAAATTCCACTTAAACTGCCAAATCTTTTATTCAATAAAACAGATGTAAAAAGGGAATCTACTGTTAATTTTTTAGGCGTAATTCTTGATGAAAATTTGTCATGGAAGTTTCACATCCAATCTATTGAAAGTAAAATCTCTTATAATATTTCCGTACTTTATAAAACAAAATCATTTTTAAACGCAAAAGCTCTAACGAAAATTTATTTTTCATTTATTCACAGCTATCTTTCTTACTGCAATATTGCATGGGGAAGTACGAATTACGGAAAACTCAAAAAACTTTATAGTAAACAAAAGCATGCTTGTAGGATTGTAATTGGGGCAAACAGAACTGTTTATTGCGAACCACTATTAAATCGTCTCAAGGCCTTAAATATTTATAAACTAAACATTTACCAAACATTACTTTTCATGTTTAAAATGAAACATGGAATATCTCCACTTATATTTCAATCTTATTTTAGCGAAATATCTCATAAGTATCCAACAAAGTTTTCAGAGAATAACTTTATTGTTCCGAGAATAAATTTAAAAATAAGTTCTTATCAAATTAAATATCGAGGACCTTTTTTATGGAAAAATTTTATTAAAAACTTTAATAAAGAACACTACTCTTTAGAAAAATTTAAAGCAGTTTCTAAAAGAATCTTACTTCAATTAGATTTTAATTCAATAGACTTTAAGTATTTTTTTTAAAAAGGAAATTTTAAAATAGAAATAAACGCTCCCATTATCATTAAGTATATTTTGTTATATGTATCAAATATATTTGTATTAGTAAACAAAACTTTCTTTACTTTTAAATTTTAATATAAATGTCATTTTATTATTTGACAAAAGTTATGTACTCTTTAACGTTTTTTTGTATATTCTATTTATATTTGTTTATAAACACGGGCAATTTGTAAACGGGGCTCGGCGATAAGACAGTCATTGTCTTCTTCTTGCTCCGGCCAATTTTTATAAATGTAATATGTCTATATTGTAAATATATGAAACGGCAAAAAAAAAAAAAAAAAAAAAAAAAAAAAAGACTATAACAGGTATGTTATCCGGGCCGCAAGCAGGAAATCGCTTTAGATACAGTAGCTGGAGTGATACGTATCGAGCAATGGATCAACCTGTTTGATGGCTATTTCATGTAGAATTTAACTTTTAAAATCAAAAAATGATATTGATGATAAATTCTTAGCAAAAAAATTAGCTTTGTCTTTAGGTGAGATGACAAAGTCTGAATCATACAAAAGCGGTGGAACTACAGACTTGCCCTTATTATTGATACTATTAAAGATTTTCCAGAAGTCACGAGAACCTAATTTTTTTAATGAAATACGTGATTTCATGATCTGAGAATAGCGAGCTTTGGTGTTAGACATTAACGACATTCCACCGAATGCTGTATACATGTCAGTAACATTCGCCACCGAATTGGTCTGCAATAGATATTGAAGAAAAGAGTAAAAGCTGTCAAAAATTTAATAGATATCTTGCAGAGTAGGGAAAACTACTTTGCCAGTTCTTACAATAGAATAAATGTTTGGACTGGCGTTCTTATTGGACAAAAAGTTGGATCTGCAAAACTGAAAAGACAAAATAATTAGTGGAACACGCTAGTGATTAAAACAGCTAACAATTTTACAAATTATTGGAAATTATGATGCTTCTCAATTGGAATTTTGTTATGCTCTGTTGTAAGTTTTTAATTGTATAGGGATATCTATAAGATTCGATGCAAAATTGAAACATTTAAAGCTACATTACTGTATGACATATGGTGTTGATTTGATGTGCTTCTTGCAGCCTTTCTGCTTCTACGTGTGTACACAATTTAGCTTCAATCTTCTTAATATTTACAAACAAGAGGTCTTAATTATTAGGTGCTTGGAATATGGTGATATGGGGAAAATGTTCTTTTTTAGACGCAAGCGTTTGTTGAAAAAACAAACATCCTCCTTAATGCTAGTGAACTTTATTTAGAAGTTAAAATAGAGTTGCGTGTAGAACGAGTTTATCGAAAGAAACGGATGACAGGTGAATTTGCTTTTGATGGCCTATCAGAGAATCTTCTTTATCATGTTATAGTTGATGTTTTCCGTAGAGTAATTGATCAGATTATCACCAGCATAAATGAACACTTATTAGTTGACAAGGACATCATTAGTGATACTGCATGTTTAGATTCCAGTCATTTTAAAAAAGTTGTTGAAAATGGTATTCCAGAAAACTGTCTTGCAAAGACTTTTCAGCTAACTAATCTTGGTTTTAACTGATTACGGTGTGAGTTGATTAGTTTTGCTACAAACTTTGATAGGCTCTCAAAAACTACAAGATAAACTTTCAGCAAATCCAATAACTTTTCTATATTAGATACTTACTTTTCGTAAGTTTTAAAAAATAATATACATTATTTAATCATAAGTTTTTAAAAAAGTATGGACAAATATAGATAAAAAATAAACAAATCATTTCAAGTATTTTAATTAGATAAATTCTTCTCTCCTTATTGCCTTTTCCAACCATCTTCTCATATTTAAATAAGAGGCATTGCACTGTTGAATATACTTATTATCAGCTAATAAAATATATTCTAGAGTTTCTTTAATAGTCATATTGGGATTAGCATTTCTTGTGGATTTGAAATTGGATTTTAAAATTAAAAAAAACTCTTTGATTGTGTTTAATTCAGGGAAGTATGGTACTACAAACTTGCGAGTAAAATTTTTTTCTCTTAGTAATTGAAGTACTGCAGCTGCTTTATGAAACTTTGCATTATCTAATATTATGAATTTTATTTGGATTTACTGCAAAGAATGGTACTAATTTGTTGTTGATGAAATTAATAAATGATTGGGTATTGTATGCGCCGCTTTTGTATTGAAAATATTCAACTCCTTAATTAAAAATGAAGTACATGAGGCTAACATTCTGCCCTTTATATGCAGGAACTGTCAAGTATGCACATATATAAAAAATAGCCATGAGCGCACTGTATGTTTATAGAATCCGGTTTTGTCTAAAAAAAACAAATTTGAAAAAGCAAAAAGTGATCTCTGATTTATTCTTTCCATGGTGTTTCTCTCTTGAAGAATGATTGCTAATCTTTTTTGTGTCAAACTTAATTTCTTTTATTTACGACAAACAAACGAGGCCTAAAGGTGTTTATCAAGTTATTTTAGAATTTGCGTTTGAATTTATTTTTAAATAACGGCATTGTAAAAGACCACGAGATTAAATATTGTCTGTTTGATTATTGTATTTATGGAGTTTTTAATTTTATACATTTCTTTTCTTTTCACTGATGATGTGATAACGTGAAGGGTATATTATTATTACTATTTTTTATAACATGACTAATAGCATTTCGAGTTAAATTACAAGCGTTGGATATTTCCTTGATTGAATATTTTTCACAATTTTTCATTGAAATAATCGTATTTTTAGTATCTTCTGTAATAGCTTTCCGTTAGTTTCTTCTGTAATAGTTTTTAATTTTATAAATGCACTTATAACTTTGCAAACGTGCACTTTGCAAAACCCTGTATTATCATATAAGTCTATTATCATGTAAGTCAACTATTTCATGCATAGGTAACACGACAACATGAATTATATTGTAAGCCTGAATGAACTTTGAACTTTTGAAGTGTACCATTATTTTATCTATTCAAATTCAAATTGAAAAAAAAAATTTATATGAATGGCTGTTGTAACTTAAAATAGCTAAATATCTCACCCCCATTTGCTACCTCCTTATAGCGCCCAAGTGTCCATAACGATACAATAAACTAGCAAACCTATATAGCTTCTGTATCTAAATATACTTATATGGCTTCTAAATAAGCATAAGTTAATTAAGTTTATTTGAAAATTTTTTTTTTTTTGTGACTTATGTCCTTTCAACAAAAAACGATTTACATTTATTAATTTACACTAATTCAACAGATAATCGTTTTAGTAATTACTTTAACCAAAATAATAGACAAAATAACTTCCTTAATTAAAATTTTTCTTCAAACTTAAATGCGTGTATTTACTGTTTAAAAAGCCGTAAATCTCACTATTGTATTTTAGTAACCGATGTTTTGTCTAAGAAAAATGTTCGTTGGCTTCGCAAATTCCATTCAAGTAGAAACTGTAGATTGATTTTTCAGATTTTAAGTGTGACAAGCCTCGCCATATATCTTTTTGAGTTAAAAAGAGAATAATAATAACAATAATAATAATAATAATAATAATAGCAATAATAACAATGATAATAATAATAATAATGAGAAGAAGATGATGAAGATGAAATAAAAATAATATTAAATTTGCTATTCATTCAAAATCAAGGCAATTAAAAGCTATTGCTAATGTTTCTTCTAAAGTTAATTCTCGCATTTTACTCCGTAAAGCCTGGGTACAAATTAAAAATACTACCCATGATTATTAGAAAAGTCAAAAAATTTTCTGAGCCATTCTGTTAATGAATTTTTGTCGAATATTGTACAGGGACGGACAAATACGTGCAGCAACAGTGCAATGCATATCAGCTGGAAAAAAAATATTTTAAAGCCGTCTAAAAATTTAAGTTTATTTAAAGAAAAAAAAATTAATGTTATGTTTATAAGCGAAAAGGCAATTGTAGTTTAACTAGATGTAGAGGATTTTATAAAAATGTACGCAATCTATGGATAATGAGCGTTTGTTATTCTGCAGGTGTATATGAAGCAATGCATAAGTTTCTAGAATTTGACAATTAAGTTACGAATAATATAAAGTGATGGGTATTAAAAGAGTAGCGTATGATTATGAAAATTGTGAATTGCTTTATGACTGGTTTTCTATAAGAAATTTCAAACTATCGTCGTATTATATATGATCGAAACATTTTTAAAACTATAAAATTATAAAACTCTTTTGGGATCTGCAATAAATTACAACTTGCTTTTCGTAAAAAAGCTTTCGTTTGATACAACTTTATCAATGTTCCCAGAATTCAAGTTTCAATAAAACTCCTTCAGGAATTAGGATAAAAAATAACTTTCTTTTTGTAATTTCGTTTAATTAAAAATTCTATGTACGTTCATAAAATCTTATCGATGTTTGAAGAGATTGAATAACTATGGCCTCTACCAATCGGAGGCCTTAGGGGGTTGTCTAGTTTAGCTATGTTTAAGGCCGGCCTGCTTTACACTAATAACTTTAGAATATCACATAATGCATTTATGCAGTTGTTGTTTTTTTAGTATTGTTATCAATTTCAACTAAATCGACTAAAAGTCGACTAGTCAAAAGTCGAAATTAGTCGGCTATGAAAAATCTAAATATCGATTTAATCAACTTTTTATTTTTTACTAATCAGCTGAAAAACAATTTAGTCGGGTCCTAAAATTCTTATCTTTACTTCATCGTTTGATTAAACTTTGTCAATACTTAATTTTATTATGATGCTAACCAATTAGTAAAGATATGTAAGAAGATTATTTTATAAAGATAAAATTATTCATTGCTGTATTTTTAATTCAACCAAAATATCTAAACATTGAACATAATTTGCTGTTTAACATAAACTCAGCTTAAGCTTACTGTATGCTGTGCCACTACATTAATGTTTATTTTTTCTCGTTATACTGACTCATTATAAAAGGTTAGTTCTTTAAATAAATAATTAATAATGTGTCATCAGTTCACGATGCCAAAAAGATACAATGTTTGGCCCTACCAGCCTCAACCTTGATACACCACAAAAATTACGTCTTATTCATTTTTTGCTTTAATTGTTTTGATAAATAATACAGAGAGAATCTTTTTTTTAAATTCTCTCTGTTTTAGTTTAATTAAAATTCAATAAGTCAATAAATTTAATCAAATTGATTTTATTGATTGATACAAATATTAATAATAGTTCCCAAGGGACATTTTAAACGATTGGTTTAATTTCCTTTAGAAATTAATAAGATTAGAATAATTTTAATAATAATGATAATAGGTACTCATGCAATTCCTTTAGGAAATTAATTCTGCATGAAGAAATTCTTATCTGAACACATTTAAAAGTGACTTCTTTGACTTAGTTTTAATAGCTATTTTGTTCTTATTCTCTTTTTATGGTTGAAATAAAATGTCAAATCGGAACATTCATAAAAGTAAAGTCTGGAATTATTTTGGGAAAAACAATTACTCTACAATAACAACGTGTAAATATAAAGATACTTTAACAAACGATATTGACAACAAAGAGCTAAAATAATTTCAAAATACAAGCTTAATGGCAAATCATTTGTTTAGTTATCATCGGATTAATATTAAAGAGTCTAAACTTCCAAGTACAACAACTGGTCATGTATCAAAGCTGTATCTGCAAACTCTCACTCATATTGTTTAAGTTAGCACAAATATAGAGATTTAAAGGAATCTTTAACTTTTTTCTTCAAACAGGTCAACCGCTGTCGATTGTTGATAATAAGTATTTTAATAAAATGCTACTTTCGTTTGGTAACAAGTAGAAAATGCCGACGAGACAAATGTTTTCGTATAAAATAGTGCTATTTGAATTTGAGTCATTTAAAGTAAAAGTAATGCATCTTTTAAATCAAGCTGAATTTTGTTATTTAACCACAGATTGATGGACATCACAAGCCTCGTATTTATACACCGGCGCCACAGAACATTTTGTTGATCAAAATTTTTGTTTGATTGCATTTAGGCATAGCCCAAAAGCCCATACTAGCCTATATTTAAAAGAGCAAATTAAGTTAATTCTAAATGAATGGAAAATAAGTGATAAAACACATACAACGAGTAGTGACACTGCTGCAAATATTAAATATTTTCTAGAAGGTCTAGTTAATAAATTGTACATACCTTTTTTTTGTCATATATTAAATTTAATTGTTATAGGTGTTCTTGTAAAACAGAATGAGCTATCAACGAACGAAAATCATTGCGTTATCATAAATTTAAAGAAACAAGTTATAAGCTTTCTGCTCAGCTTGTAAATTGTGTTGATTTAAATAATATGAAAATTGACAATCAAGAAGATAAACGTTCAATCAACAAACTAAAACCAGACGTTGCTACTCGGTGGAACTTGACCTTTTTAATGTTATCAATTTTTAAACCTAGTGAATTGATCAAAGACGTTATTATCAAGTCAGAGAACAAAGATAATAAGGGTTTGTTATTAAAAAACTAGGAACTAGATTATTATTGGCGAGCTAATTGATTTATAGAGCCAAATCAAGATTTTACAAAAATTTTGAGTGGATCAAAATATACCACTTGTTCAATTATATTACCAGCCGTTTATAAATTAACTGATTATTTTGATAACTTCAAACGTGAATCAAATAATCGTACAATTATTTTTTTCTTTAATTTTATATCAAACAAAACAGCAAAATTTTCTTGTATTAAAAAAGCTCATTCTTTAGTTGTTCAATTAAGCCATGAATTGCAGCTAACACCATCAAGTCTTCAGTTTTCTAGCCAAAAATCGTCAAAGAAGTCCATAAAAAAAAGAAAAATATTGTTATGCGATGAAACAGTGTCATCAGAAGAAATGTTATCAGTAGACAACGAAATCATCAATTATTTAAATATGAATATAAAAGTATGGGAAAATTCATGTCCCCTTGCATTTTATAAAAATAATTTATGCCAATTTCCCGTTTTGTCAAAGATAGCAAAGATGCTCTTTTGCATAACTGCTTGATCAACGGCTACTGAATAGTTATTTTCAAGTGCTGCCTAATACATTACAGAACGACGAAATAGACTTGAACCATATTTGGCTAAAGAATGTGTCTTGTTAAGCCATATTCGGCTGAAGAATGTGTCTTGTTAAACCATATCTGGCTGAAGAATGTGTCTTGTTAAACCACGATTCGGCTGAACAATGTGTCTCGTTAAACCAAGACATAAAATAATGATATTATTTTTTTCTATTGTAATTTCTGTTTTGTTTTTTTATTCTCGATTTAAATTAATCTAATAGAATAATACCACCTAACTTTTTGTTTAGTCTCTTAAAGATCTATTTATTTCATCTAAGAAATAAATTGCCGAGTAATATTTAAATATTATAATTTAAAGAAATTAAAATATTTCGACTAAATCGACTTTTAGTTGCCTTAGTTGATTTCCACATAATATTAGTCGATTTTAGTCGACTTTAAAAAACACCTTAATTGATATAGTCCACAGTCGAGTTAATTCAAAGTCGTAACAACACTAGTTTTTTTTTGACATAAATGATGTTTTTGTGAATATTTTTTTGATAAACAAAGTTAAAATATCAAATAAAATATTTTTAAACACATGTGATTTTCTTAATAAAAAAATGCATATACATTTCTTAAAAGTTGATGTTATAAGGGTAATAAAATGTTTATTGAAAGAGATTTGCATAAAACGTTGGATAAATATCGTTTTTTTTCTAAAAATAATTCAAAAAACAAAGCTAAAAATTATAACGCACTTAAAAAATTTCAGTAATTAGCGGTGCCTCTAATCTATGACAAAAGTCCATTTTTTCATAAGTTCTTGATGTTATAAAAATGTTTTAGCGGAAAGACAATTTCTTAATTAGATTTTCACGGAAAAATGTCGATTTCTGAGAATCTTATCTCACCCCGGATTTATGAGAACAAAAACTACTTTTAACATTAGTAAGTTTTATTTATAAGCATTCATTTATTGTAAATTTCTAGATTTAAAGCTGAGAGCGCTGGCCATTCTAATAATTGAATTTTCTTGCTGGTAAACCATGAGATATTTGACTTTGCTCTATGAATTGGAGCATTATCTTGCTGGAAAATGAAATTGGTATTATCAAATTTTTGTATAATATCATTCAAATGACCATTCAACAAGTTTCTATATCCT